AGCCTGCCACAACGTCAATGTGCCCCATCTTTGGTAGATCCTATTCTAACAGCCTAATGTCTGCTCTTATGAGATTAACCAACTTACTTGGGGGTAAAATTCCAACTGGGGCTCTCTACAGTACAAGGCTAAATAGGGCCCTGGGATGAGGCACCTGTGACAGGGAGGGGTGCAAAACCAAGGAGTTGGCCCCAGATGGAACTTTTCCATGGGAAGTATGCAATCACGTCACTGCACAGAATAGGACAAAAAAGTGATCAGTTTGCACTGATGAAAGACCTTCAAGTCGGTAAAGGAAACAACTTTAGGTAAAGGATGTTGGTGGAATGAAGGGATTTGATTGTCACAGGAAGATCCTATGGAGAAGGCAAGGAGAAAACATCTAAGTGAACCACCACTGATAGATAGTGAATAGCCCTATATGGTAATAGCTATATATAATGGGACATTGGGGAGGAAGGTAGTTTAGGCTGCTTGTTTGTATCATTATATTTTATTTTATTTTCATTTGATTGTTTTGCTATTTATGGTCCATGAAGAAGGCCACTGAAGTGGCAGAAACACACAGGTCTATTTATATATATATATATATATATATATATATATATATATATATATATATATATATATATATATATATATATATATATATATATATATATATATATATTTATATGTATATGTATATATATATATATATATATATATATATATATATATATTTATATTTTATTTACAATTATAGTTTTTTAAAGTAAAATTATTAAACAAATTGGAACCCATCCTCAGTAGAGTGAAAAAGAAAGGTGGTTTCAGCCCCCCAATTCATCCAAGGGGAGACATTTTTATTTACAGGATCTTGCGAGTGCATACTAATTAACACATACTGTGCTACTTTCTTAAGCGTACTTCACTATGTGTGGCTACATTTTCTTTTATAGATGTTCAGCGGTGTCTCAAACTTGTTTCTTGATAGACCTTTCTGTTAATTAAGAAAGTGGTTGCTATTTGTTAAGGTTTGATTATCAATTACCTGCCCTTTACACACAATGGTGGGAGGGTGGTGCAATATATGTTTGTATGAATGTGTCAGTATGTGTATCCGTGTGTGTGTCAATATGTCAATGTGTGTATCTGTGCATGTGTCAGTATATGTATGGATGTGTGTATATGTGTATATGTATATATTTCAACACACACGGTGTTAAAACTAAAACCCTGCATTCACATAATTACTCTTCAGCCTTCTAATCATACACAAACGGTCACCATCATACACTCACATTTTCCACACACGGACTCCAACATTTACACATGTATACAAACTGACATTCTAAACATGTAGAACCCAGCATTCAAATACCCACTGGAATACAATTCAAGTGCACCCAAGTATTCACACATTTTTTTTTTTTAAATTTGACAAATTTTATTTATTTTATCAGTAAGCAACGTATTCAGGGTACAGAAAAGAATTGGATTATAGTTAATGAGATTAAATTTTTTACAGGGGGAGGGTACATAACAGAGGAAGAGGGGGGAGAGAGGGGGCGATCACAGGTTGATACAGACAAGCATTTTTAGTAACATTAGATCCACATTATTTCCAGTTCAGAGTGACAATATGTCCCCACAATAGCATGTCACACGACACATAACAACATATCAGCATCAGCATCCCATGGGTGGCTGTGGGGGTGTGAGTAAGCATTTGCAACTTGGGTGTGTTAAGGACATTGCAGCTTATTTGCGAGGTACAGCCCCTGGTGCTTTACCTGGTACTTTACCAGATCTCCATGTTTGCCAAAGCTCCCAAGTTTTCCTATAGAGCATAGAGGGGGGGAAGAGGGACATGTAGGAGGTTTCGTAAATCCACTGCTTATGCAATTCCTCTAAGAGGTTTTCCTTCTTGGGAAGGATCGTGGACTTCCATCTGCTTGCTATCAATTGCTGCACCGTCAAAGCTATGTGTAAGGTCAACTTTCTAGCGTGTTGGGGATTTTCTCTAGGGAGAACCAAGAGTAGGCACACCTGTGGGGTGAATGGAGGAGAGCTTTGTGTGGCTTCTCGGATCAATGCATGGACTTCAGTCCAATAAGGATGTAGCCGTGGTCAGCTCCACCATAAATGGTGCATTGAGCCCTCTGCTGCGTGGCATCTCCAGCAAAGTGGTGAGGTGGAGGGAAAGATCTTGTGCAGTCTGGTCAGCACTAAGTACCACCGGTATAACATTTTATGGTGTTGTTCAATGTGAGAGGTGGATTTTAGTAGCTTGAGAGGGTCGGACAGGACAGTGTCTCAGGATGTGGGTGGCACTGCACAGCCTAGATCGCTCTCCCATTGTTGGGCATATTTTGTGGTGGAGAAGTGGTTGTGTTTTGTTATGGAGCTGAGACACATGGAGATCAGTTTACATTGAGATAGTAATCTTGCAGTTATACACATTTGTTCCCATGCAGTTAACCTATTAGCATCTCTAGATGTGTCTAAGAAATGTTTTGCTTCTTTAGAGATATAAGAGTGTAGCTGGAAGTACGAGTACTGCGAGGACTGTGGGAGTGCGTATTTGTCGGCTAGGCTCGTGTAGTCTAGTAGTTTATGGGCATCAAATAGGTGGTAAAGGTGCGTTGCGCCTCCTCGGTGCCATGGTAGGGCATTAAATGTGGGAATGATGTAGGGTATGGCATAAGGTTTGCAAGATTTTTAGTGATTGTCAGGCCTAGGTAGCATATGGATTCAGTTCTCCAGTCAAAGTGGTATGTGTGTGTGAGGGTGCGTAATACCGGGGCAGGGATGCCCATAGACAGGGCCTGTGTCTTGGCCGCATTAACTAAATAGTATGAGAACTGTCCATAGGTGTATATTATCTGCATTAGTGTAGGTAGGGAGTCTAGTGGGTTTGTTACGTACAGTAGTACGTCGTCTGCGTATGCGCTAATTTTAATCTACTTGTCCCCTAGATGTATTCCCTGTATCTTCTCATTTGAGCGGATGCGGTGCAAGAGGGGTTCTAGTGCGAGGACGTATAAAAGCGGAGATAGGGGGCACCCCTGTTTTGTTCCATTGGTAATCGGAAAAGTGGGAGACAGGAAACCTGCTTGATTTACCTGTGCCGATGGTGAGGAATAGAGTGCAAAGATTTGTCTGATTATTTGTGGGGGGAATCCAAATTTCTCCAAAACCTGTTTCAGGAAGACCCAGCCGAGGCGGTCAAAGGCCTTCTCTACGTCCAGCGCTAGGAGGAGACCCCCTTGTCCAGGCCTCCCAAGCTCCCTCTGCGCCAGGGCCAATTTTCGGGTGTTGTCTAAGCCCTGTCTGCCCCTCACGAAACCCGTCTGGTCATCATGTATCAAGTGTGGTAGGCTTGTGCTCATTCTATTCGCAAGGATTTTTGTGTAGATTTTTGCATCCGTGTTGAGTAGGGAAATAGGTCTGTAGTTCTTGCACAGGTCCGGGGATTTGTCAGGTTTGGGGATTGTTACTATCGTGGCTAATAATACTTCAGGAGGCAGGCTACCGGTAATTGCCATCTGCTGGTACATTTTTAGGAGTTGTGGCGCCAGTGTGGCTCCGAACTCCTTATAGTAAGCATTGGGGAGTCCATATGCTCCTGGAGACTTCCCCAAGGGGAGCTGCTTAATAGTATTGATGATTTCTTGTACAGTAATGGGTTGTAGTAGGGCCTGACAGTGGCCCTCCATCAGTTTGGGCAGTGTAATGTCTGCTAGGTATTGGGTTGAGCGTGAGGCCTAGTGTCATCGATGTGGAGGTTATATAAATTAGAGTAAAAGGTTCAAATGTGTTACTGATTGTTTGTGGGTCTATGTGTTTATTGCCGTTGTCATCTATTATGTGGGATATTTTACATTGGGTCGATCTAGCCCTGAGCCGTGCTGCTAGGTGTTTGATGGGTTTGCCGGAGGTGTGGTACGTGGTGGCCCTAAGCTTATGAAGAAGACCGTTTGTTCTGTCCACCTGTAGTTTGGTAATGGTCGTCTGCAGGTCGTTTATTTGGTTTAAGTACGCTTGCGTGGGTTGGGCTTTATTTTTCGTACTGACTTCATGCTGACTTTGTAAGCATCTAGTAGCGTGAGCTGATTTCTCCTCTTAAGATAGGAGGACCTCTTAATAAAAAGCCTTATGGGCTCCACACCATGCTGTCTGTGACCTGCCCTGTCCCATTCGTTTGGAAGTATTCCGTCAGTGAGGTCTGGATCGAATCTCTAAAGGCAGCCTCTGACAAGAGCGATTCGTTAAGGCGCAATTACCCTCGCCCTCTGGATTGAAAGTTATCGTGTAGGTGTAGGTGTACTGGGCCATGGTCCGACCATGTGATTTCCCCTATCCTGCATTCCCTTAATTGCAAAAAACAGAATAAAGCGTATACTGCGCCCAAGATCATACGTACATACAATTGTAGTAAGGGAGGCTGGTTGAGGATCTCAGAATAAAAAAACAGACAATAATAGTGCAGTACAATTTTTATCATACCATTCAGGCGCTATAAAGCAGAGCTCTTATATAGCTCTCGCAAATGTGAGTGGTTCTCCTACAGTTATCAATTTAATATTTCTTACTTTGTTAAAAATTGTACTGCACTTTTATTGTCTGTTTTTTTTATTCTGAGGTCCTCAACCAGACTCCCTTACTACAATTGTATGTACGTATGATCTTGGTCACAGTATACGCTTTATTCTGTTTTTTACTTTACTGTCACACAAGGTCTTGGGAATCCTTGTATTGTATACAGCAGCCCTCACTTATTCATTGTGTTATAGAGAGCGTCTATTACTTTCTGTTTCTGTATTCCCTTAATTGCGCTAGTGTGGCATTGTCTAAGAAAAAAGTGTCTATTCGGGTATATGTGTTGTGGACTTTTGAGTGAAAAGTGTAGTCAGCCTGTGTGGGGTGTAATGTTCACCAGGCATCATATAGTCCGTGTTGTGCCAGTACTTTGGCTATAGCTTTACATGTGTCGGCTATGTGTGATTTCCTCCTACCCGTGGGGCGGGCTGTCGTGTCTAAGGTTGGCAGTTGGATAAAGTTAAAATCCCCACATAGGATCAGGCCCCCTGTCTTAACCTCATCTATGGTGAGGAGGAGAGTTTGAAGGTAGCGTTTGGTTTCTACATTAAGAAAATACGCCGCAGCCAGGGTATACATTGCGTTATTAAACATGCCCACGAGGACGATAAACCTGCCCTTATGATCTCTGATTTTTCTATAGAGTGTAAGGGACGTGTCTTTATGGATGAAAATTGAGACTCCTTTAGTTTTGGTTATCAGAAAGGGTGTGGAACTGGGTCGGGTAGTATTTGTTATATATACTCGGAGTATGGTCTTCTGGACACATGCAATGTCAACCCTCTTTTTTTTCAGGTCTCTGAGTAGGAGACTCCGTTTACTGGGGGTGTTAAGCCCCTTGACATTAAGGGTCGTAATTTTCAAAGTGTATGATTGCTGCGGTTGTGGTCCAGAGGAATGGTGTCCCTGTGGTTGGTGCTATGTGGAGTATTCGGCTCTTGTCGTAGCATTTCAACATAGGACTACATGTCCTCTTTGGTGGAATTGGTGATGCCGGGTGGTAGTGGGGGGGGGGGGGGAAACTATAGGAGGAGGGAAAAATCCCACAACTGCAGGTGAGAAAACGCTCAGCAAGTCTGAGCAACAGTGTGGTCTGGTTCTCCCAGACCCACACAGAGTGGGAGGCGGCTTCGAGTGTCTCCATACAGTAGATAGAGTCACTCTGGTCTTAGGGCCCAGTCGGGGCTGCTGGGAAGGCATTGGTTTAGTGAGGCAGCATTTCCTATGCCATGACTGTGCTGCGGCATACGCCCATGCTTACGGTGGTGTGATCCACTATTAAAGATGTGTTAAGGCTGACCGCAGGTCACGGAGGCAAAATAAACATGAGATAATTCTTGACCATAGAAAAACATGTACATAAACATATAAACCTGAAAATATTAAACAATAAGACATCTCTCTCAAGCGAGGATATAAAGTGTGTATTTAGGTATGATGCCCACCTTGGGCGGGCGTCCGTCCCAGGGTATGTCTGTGTTTTGCTAACATGGGCCCTTCTAGGATATTTAGCAATCAAATCGTAGCGGGTGTTGGCTATAAACAGCTGAATGTACTACTCTGACCCTAGAGGAGTAGATGTAGAAACCTTGAGTCGTCGCATAGGCGTAGTATATGCCTTGGTATGAGGTGCCCTACAACTAAAGGGTTTCTGCTTTGAAGCGTGACTATGCTCAAGTGCTATACAATTGTTATTTTTATTTTCATTTTTAATAATTTTTTTTCCTTTCCCTCCCCCCTTTTTTATTTATTTATTTACATTTTTTTATTTAAAAAAATAAAATAAAATTCTATGCGTTCTGCTTTACTGCTATACATTCTTGTGAGCGGTCATGCTAATTGGGCAGTGTCGGGTTCTAACCTTAAAATCTAGCGCATTATAACAAAGTGTACAGCTCGCATGAAACATAAGTGTCATAAGCATCTCTCTAGTAAAACCATAGAATGTGCACCGGTATACAATACCCTACAGAGAGAGAGCTATTAGCAGTAGAAAGAGGGAAGTGCTCGTGCCATTGTACAGAACACTGGTGAGACCTCACTTGGAGTATTGTACACAGTACTGGAGACCGTATCTTCAGAAGGATATTGATACCTTAGAGAGTGTTCAGAGAAGGGCTACTAAACTGGTTCATGGATTGCGGAATAAAACTTACCAGGAAAGGTTAAAGGATCTTAACATGTATAGCTTGGAGGAAAGACGAGACAGGGGGGATATGATAGAAACATTTAAATATATTAAGGGAATCAACACAGTAAAGGAGGAGACTATATTTAAAAGAAGAAAAACTACCATAACAAGAGGACATAGTCTTAAATTAGAGGGACAAAGGTTTAAAAATAATATCAGGAAGTATTACTTTACTGAGAGGGTAGTGGATGCATGGAATAGCCTTCCAGCTGAAGTGGTAGAGGTTAACACAGTAAAGGAGTTTAAGCATGCGTGGGATAGGCATAAGGCTATCCTAACTATAAGATAAGGCTAGGGACTAATGAAAGTAAGGTCTGGGTGGGTAGCTGGGATTAACTCCTGGAACAGGTCAGTCAGGTATTTGTGCAGTTCTGTGGCTTGAATTTATTCTGGTATACCTCTGAAACGAAGGTTGTTCCTTCTGGACCTATCTTCCAGATCTGCGACTTTACGTTTCTGGGTCTCTAATGAGGTCTCTAGTTCTTGTAGCTTGTCTGCAAGGCTGTTATGGGCCACTGCAAAGTCATCCAGTGATTTCTCTACATGGGCTGTCCTGCTCCCAATCTCTAACAGCTCCTTTCTGAGATCTGTGGTGAGCTCATGAATCTGCACTTTAATGCTTGCCTGCAGTTTGTCAGAGAGCTCTGCCATCAGGGTTCTCATCCCTGCAACGGTGAGGGGGCCTTCCTCTGAGGCTGAGCTCGGTGAGGGTGGGGGGGGAGAGTGAAACCTCGCCTGAGCACTGGTCGCCACCATCTTGGGCCTGGTCTTTCCTGTTTTTTCCCGCCGGAGCTCGTGCGAGGAAGAAGGAGGCTTTCTCCGTTGTGGGGGTCTTCCCCTTGCTTCTATGTGCCATTGTGGGGGTAAGTATGCTGATTGCTGCCGTTGGGTGGCTGGTAGTGCCGGTTATTTGTGCCCCTAAAGACTCGGGCTGCGGGAGCTTCACATAAATGCGGCCGGTCCCGTCGAGCTCCAAGCCACGCCCCCCCCCCCCGTATTCACACATTCTAACATTACATATGAATAGACTCCTGCATTTACACTGAAAGTCCACAAAAATACAACTTTACATCCACACAGCAGGGGAACTACCACTGTGGTTGCACTGGGGCCCACTAGGGAGGCCCATTGGGTGACCCATGCACTTAGAGCCAACCGTTGGGCATTGTTGAAAACGGGCCCAGACAGTGCCGTGGCCCCTTAACAGAGTGGTTGGACCTCTGTAGTATCGGGAGGAAGAGAGAGACCCAGCTCCAGGGAGTCACACACTCCAATGAGTCTTAACCAACAGGACTCAGGGAACCACCCTTCTTCTTATAAAAGGTACTTTAAAAGAAGTGTGGCTGAAAATATAACAATTATGACATGTTGTGCGTGTTTCTGTGTATGTACATGTTAGTGTATGAGTGTGTATGTGCCAGTGTGTGCATTGTGACAGAGTCTATGGGAGGGTAATAGAAGGAAGATATTTAGGATCCAGAATCCTCCATAGCCTGTACTCATTCACCTGCCCAATTTGCAACTGCTGAGGCTTAAATTGGCAAGGCTCAGAGCAGAAAGGAGGGAGATACAATCTGACCTGCAGAGAGAGCAGGTCTGTGCAGAGCAAGCACCAGAAAAGGTTGGTGAAACCAATGTTTATTTTGTTGATTTGTTTAGATTATTACCCTGGTTTAGTAAGGGACATTTCTTTAAGTTTAGTAAGTGCTCGAATTTGAGCTAGGATTTTGTTTGTAGACTTTCCTTTCTGATTTGCTGCAGTTTTGAACAAACTGATTGCTGCATGGATATTTGTGCACAATGTATATAAATCACACCTTTTTGCATAAGAGACTGTTGTTCTATACCTGTTACCCTAAAGGACTGTGTTGCTTTGCCCATAAAGGTCACAGCATCTATATATGTGTCAGTGTGTTTAAATGAGTGCATCAGTGTGTCTGTTTTTTATCTGTGTGTCAGCGTGGCTATATGTGTGTGTCTGAGTGTGTCTGTATGTGTCAGTGTGTGTATCTATCGTTGCCTGGGAGAAGTGATGCTATCCAGGTTTATGGGTCGCGGCCCGCCTCCTGCATTTGCGCATGTGCGCCAGTGGCCACGACCCATTTACCCTCTGTCGGAGCAGCAAGGGAACGGAGGTTGTGGAGGTAAGTCATGACAGTATTTATGTGTGTATTTGTCAGAGTCAGAGTGTGCTTTTGTGTAAGTCAATATATCAGTGTGTATCTGTGGTTCAATGTGTATGCATATCTGTGTAAACATATATGTATGTATGTGTCCGTGTGAATCTGTGTGTGTTTCACTGTGTATGTGTATCTGTGTAAAGTGTATGTGTATATGTGCATACATCTCAGCAAATGGGATGTCTATGTGTATATGTGTATGTGTATCTGTGTAAAGTGTATGTGTATATGTGCATACATCTCAGCAAATAGCAATACTATATGCAAACACATCCATGCAATCAAACACTAACATTACATAAAACACACTCCATATACAAACACACTTCTTCATTCAAACACCAAAACTACACACAAATGTACACCCTGATTTAAACGACAACACAACATACAACCACACTTCTGCATTTAAATTGAAATATTACAAAACAAAACACTGTATAAAATACCAAAAAATATATACAAACACCCCTTCATTCAAACATCAACACTATGCACAAATGTACATCTGTTTTTAAAAGCTAACCCTACTTACAACCACACCACTGCATTCAGACACAAATAGTACATAGAAGTACAACACTGCATTCTAATGACAACAGTACATACAAATACACCCCTACACACATACTCCATACAAAAACATGATTACATTCAAACACATATACAAACACTGTTCACAAATACAGTGAGGGAAAAAAGTATTTGATCCCCCTTAACAGTGAGAGACAGAATAACAAAAAAAAACCCAGAAAAACGCATGTCAAAAAAGTTATAAATTGATTTGCATGTCAATGAGTGAAATAAGTATTTGATCCCCTATCAATCAGTAAGATTTCTGGCTCTCAGGTGTCTTCTATACAGGTAACGAGCTTGTTACCTGTATATAAGACATCTGTCCACAGAACCAATCAATCAGATTCCATACTCTCCACCATGGCCAAGACCAAAAAACTGTCCAAGGATGTCAGAGACAAGATTGTAGACCTACACAAGGCTGGGATGGGCTACAAGACCATCGCTGTGACAGAACCATCTGTATGCCTATGTGTGGTGGATTCATCTGTTTTGCCCTCCTTTCGTGGAAATGGCTGTTTCTATAGCCCATGTATACGAATGACTTGTTTTACCGAACAAACCTACCGAACGGATGGCCACCCAGGATAGAAGTGTGCTGCTGGTTAACCTCTTGATCCCAATTAGAACGT